CTCCTGAGCGAATCTTGGCGGGGTTTAGTAGATGGATGCGAAATCGCCTATGGTGAAAATCTAGTATTTTCTGATTTTCTTGGGGTGTGTTTGAGCTATCGGGAATTGGAATACACCATTCGATAGAGCTCATCGAGTTGTACTTGGAACACACCCTGGGACAGTTGGAACATGTTCCTGGGCGAATCTTGGTGGGATTTACTCGAATCTGGTGCTAACTTCACCTACGTCCTAATCGACATGCGTACAAGACCTGATAAAACATCACCTGATATTACTTATTCTTGGATTTTAAAGTGCATCGATCACTTTAGTAAATTTTCATGGGCCTTTCCATTACGAAATAAATCTGCTAATGATGTTGCAACAAAATTACGTGATTTATTTTTTACTTTTGGACCACCACGAATACTTCATAGTGATAATGGCCGTGAATTTATTTCGAATGTTATTACAGAATTAAAAAATCTATTTCCAGATTTAGTTTTTATTCGAGGAAGACCAAGACATCCACAAAGTCAAGGATGCATCGAAAGAGCAAATGGAATTTTATGTGAGGCTCTCGGCAAATGGATGTGCACTAATAATTCTACAAGTTGGTCTTTTGCTCTAGCACCAGTTATTTATGGTCTTAATACAAGAATGTCTTCTGTAACTAAAACAACACCATATGAAGTGATGTTTGGACAACAACCTCGCTCTGATTCTGATTTTTGGAAGTTAATTCAACAGAACGGTGTCGAAGATGAAGAAAACTTACCAACTCCAGTTGCTGAATTAAATGATGAATTAAATGATGATCAAGGTGATAGTTTAATTCATTTCGACAAAGGTATTGATGCTGACGTAGTTGATCTTGACGAATTATCTAATGATGCTGTTTCTTGTTCATTATCTAACACACCATCAACACCCAGTTCGTCATCAATTACCGAAAAAACACCAAAAGAACATGATTTGGTTCGTAAAATCGCGACAGATAATTATTTAACAACTGCTAATAAAAAAATGAAATTATATCGAGATAGTTTAAATCTTATTGCTAATAATTTTAATATAAATGATTGTGTTGGTATTGCAATTCATACGGTTGATAGAACAAATACCGATCCAAAATATTTACCATGTTTAATTATTGAAAAAAACGAAAAAAATAATATTTCTTTATATTAATTAATTTGTCAATATGGTATTTTACAAAACACATTTGAAGCCGGACAATTTATGAATTTAAAAGATGCTTGTCCCAATGAATTGAAACAAATTGATGTTAGTACTTTAAAGCCAATCACCATCATTGAAGCTTCAAAACTTTATTCTCGTGGTTCTACAACTGGCCGAACTTGTAATTGTCAGGGCAAGTGTGCAACAAAATCATGTCCATGTAAAAAAGAAAACGTTTTCTGCTCAACCAAATGTCATTCGAAGAGGGGTGGGTGTTCAAACATGCACTAAACTAATTTAGGACTCATATTGTGTGTATTAAATAAAGATTGTAAAATAAAAAAAAATTTGTTTATACTTTAAATGTTTCTTTCTTTACTACTTTCTATTCATCGGAACACTATTTTAATTTCGTCTGGAGGAAATTAAAATTTTAATTTTGACTAAGAACATATCGGACGAAATTATAATTTCAATTTCGTCTGGACAAAATTAAAATTTCAATTTTGCTTGGGCAAATTTAAAATTGGCTGAATTTTAATTTCGACCACAACATATATATATTTGTTTATTATTTATCATATCTAATGTTATCCATAACAATAAATAAAAATTGTTTAATATTGAATATAGGTGATGTTTCGTTTATAGAAAAGTTTGTTTATAATAGTCTAACGAAAGAATGAAGAAAAAATATTACATACGTAAAAGAATTAATATGAAATGAGTGTACAATGTATTATATTAGTGAAAATTTTTCAAAAGATTGAATATCAGATTCAAAATAATCGATAGAGAATTGTTTTTTTTCTTTATGAAACTATTTTTATTTTTATTTTTTCTAATAATGCTTTAATATTCATATAGATCAATCGAAACACAAATTAATTATTAAGGAAGAAAAACGATTCATAGTGAATCCTAGCAAATTTTAGAGTAGATTCTTTGATTTCTATCAAAATCCATTATAATATACGAAAGTCTATAAAAAGTACGAGTGAGCTCTTGCGGGAAAACACCGAAAGTTGTCGGAACAGGGTGACAGTATTCTGACCGAAAATTTTTTTCATTTTTTCTGGTGACTTCCTGTAAAATTCCTTCAGTTTCCTTGAGGAAGTTGTTCGTAAAGTCACTGAAAAAAATCCGAAAATTTTTCGGTCGGAATATTGCTACCCTGTTCCGACAACTTCCGGTGTTTTTCTACAGAATCCTGCGAGATCCGATGATCGGAATCCTCAACCTGGGACTATCAGACCGCTACCCAAAACAAGAGAGAAAAGTTAGATCCTCATGGATTCTTGAGTAGTAACTTGATTAGTCTGCATTAACGATTGTAGTTTAACTCTCTAAGTACTATATATGAAATGAAGGTTGATGAAAAACTGAATATAGGGATTTAATGAATAAGGTATACTGCATTTATTACTTTTTAGGATTATTTAAATGTTTATCTGCTATATAGAGAAATTAGTTCTTATTTACGGTTTCATTGATCATAAGATATTAATCATTTCCATAAAAAATTACATCTGAAGATCATCTTGAAAAATTTCTCGAAAACATTTTAGCACGAAACACATAGATGACGAAGTTTCTATTATAGTTTTTAGAAATATGTAGATGAAATGTGAAAACTATAAAATAAGAGCTAATTTCTGTATATAATATAGTAGAAAAATATTTAAATTATTCTAAGAATCAACAAATACATTATATCCTATTCATTTGGGTATATCAATAATTACTAATATCATTTACAATTGAAATTACAAGAAAATATTGTAAAGGTGTTATTGCTCATCCTCTAATTTAACTTTAATGTTAAAATAAATAGATTTGAAGTATTATTTTAAAATTTAACTTTTAAAATATAAATCATTAATTTTAACCTTATTATTATATCAATATGTTTTGAAAGCTTAAGTTTCATTGTTTGTGTCAATTGAAATATATTAAAGCTCATCAAAATTCGTCAAAAGTTTTAAAAAAAAGTTCTTTATAATTCATTAAATCACACTAAAAACTAATTTAAATAAGAAAAACTATCTTCATCTTAGATCAAAGATGAAAATTTTGGTCATATCATAGTGTTTAATATTTCAGTGAAAAATATTTGATTCAAACAACGGAAAAATTCTTCTGAAAAAAAAAACCGCGGTAATCTGAGGTTAACCGCGGTTTTGTTCCACATTTTGAAAAACCGCGAAAGTCAGACCGTTTATACGGTTTTTTGAAACCGGCGAAAACTGCGGTGAGAACCGAGAAAACCGAGGTTCGAGCTGAGTTTTTACAGGTCTAACCGCATTAAAGGTCTGACTTTCGCGGTTTTTTCTTGAAAAATTTTTCGTGGGTTAAAAGTCCTCTTTTTGGTTTTAAGGAAATAAAACGTTCGAACAAAAGTATAAAGCATTTCAATATGAAATCAAAAACTAAATTTGTTTTAGATTTTTTTCATTTTAATCATAATTCATAGACAACAACGTTTGTGATTTGGAAAATGAACAGAAAATAGACATTCTATTCTATATAGATTTCTGTCCAAATAATATTTTATGGAAAAATATTTCTTTGTTTTTTTTTTGTCATATCTATGCAAAGTTGACTGTCTCAAAAAGAAAAAAATATATCAAGCGAAATTAAATAAGTTAAAACACAAAATTTAAATGGCGAAAGTAGATTTTAAGAAAAAAAAAGTTTTGAAGAATACGAACAAACACTTTTCGCGTTGTCAACTCGTTCATAAGCTGTTAATCGTCTTTTCTATTCTCGATAATGAAAATCTCGAATAGAATTCAATATCATTCTATCGATTGAAACAACACATTTTAGCATAAATAAATATTAATCAATAAATAAAATTTTTACGTTATATATTATTATCAAAAGATTTTCGATGAAATATTTTTCAACAACGATTATCAACAATCAATTTATATTTATTTAAATTTATCAAATAAAGAAAGATATTTTAAAATAAAATCTAAATATATTTAAAATATTCTATTTTCTAATATTTTATCATCTTCTTATTTAAACTGAATATGTGTAAAAGTCTTTTAATATATTTAGAATATAAGAGGAATACGATATGATCATTTTATTACAGAATAAACTATAGATTGATCATAAAATTTTTGTTATTTATGATTTATTTTTTCTGAATTTTAGTTATTTTAATGATTTTTTTTATTGAATTTTAACTTATCGAAGTTTATAATTTACAGAAATTAAAAATCTAAAATAACTTTGCATAACAATAGAATATATTTCACGCATCGAATTCAACTCGAATTTATGAATATTTTTATTATTTCTTTTCTGATAGTTATCGTTAAATACAGTCAAATAATAATCAGAGTGTTGTCTTAGAAGAAAACACAAATAATAAAAAAGAATTGGTATTTGAACAAAAAGACGATTGTTGTTCGAGAATTTTTCAAATTTATCATTTTCAATCAATTTTTAGAATAATAGTGCAGGAAAATGAAATGTCCTCGAGAATTTTACTAAGAATTTACTAAATCAAAACGATGCAAGGAGTACTGGTTATAAATGAAAGTTTTTATCTAGATTTGTGCATCTTTCTCTTAGACATCATATTGACATAGATTTAAAGATCAGAGACCAATGAGCATATTTTTCATACTAAAATGAGGAAAAATGGAAAGAGAAAAGACATTGAATTATTATCATCAACCATATTTCGACTATTCAAAAACATTTTAAAATCTTTCGTTGAAACTTCAATAGCTAAAATATATTTGTGAATATTTTAACCAACTTATTTCCTATGTAAATAAATGATTGAAATTATAATAAAACAGAATTTGAAATTAAAAAAAAATTCGAGCACAAACCCACTAAATAAATGAGATTGAGACTTTTCGTAGAAATTTATTATCTTTTGAAAACAATAATAACGTATCACTAGAAATATTTTACTTAATCTATTTTCTATTTGTATATGAAACTATAATATTAAATGACAATTTATCTCGAGGATTTTTTGGATATAAGGTGAGAGAATATATATCGATCCATCAACACACACTAACACACACTCGCATCCAGACGCATAAAAATTTGATAAGATCGTATTTTGAATATGTACAAGTAAATTAACATAGAATTTTTTCTGAATTCGATTCATTTATGAATACTTGTTGAAATTAATGTCGTTTTTCAATATTCTTTAACTAAAATAAGTAAAATAGATTTTATTTTTATAGAATTAATATTTGACGATTTTATTTTATAATGTCTAAGGATAATAATATTCTCGATCAGAAATTTTTTTAATTCTTCAAAACAATCACTGAAACGTCATAATGACAAATGAAAACTTAAATATATCAAATTTATACTGCATTTTTATCTATGAAAATTCATTTTCACGTTTCATGACGAAATTTATTAATTTTGCTTTCATTTTTTTCAAATAAATTTTAATTCTACTTTTAAGTCTTGATTATTTTTAAAAAGAAAACTATCAACAACATTTAATCATAGTTAGAAAAAACAAAATAGTTCATCCAACATCTCAAATATAATTTCACTCGATTTTACTCATAAGAATAAATGATTTAAGTAAATACTTCTAATACATCGATAGTTCTATGTTATAGATATACACTTAATATAAGACAATTAAATTCAGATATAGCTGTACCTATTGATTTTCTTTGTGGAATATTTTTCATTGATAATTAACTCCAATTATTAATTTAAACTGAATAAAATACATTAATTGAAATACGAATAAATTTATATAGAACTATTTGAAGATAGAATTGTTTTGTTGATACAGCGAATTCTAAAAGAATTTTACTAATTAAAAGATCTGATAAAGCAATATATGCAAGTTATTATGGTGATGCTGATGATTATTTTATACGTGAATTGAATTGTGCAACAAGTTAAATAAAAAAATCTTATCTAATGATTATATTATTGATGAACTATTTATTTTCTATTTTAATTTGATCTTTTTAATCATTTATAAATAAATA